CCGTCTTTACTAAAAATAGAAAGAATTAGCTGGGTGTGGTAGCGTGCACCTGTAGTCCCAGCTACTGGGAGGCTTGAGGCAGGAGAATCACTTGAGTCCAGGAGTTTGAGGTTGCTATGAGCTAGGCTGATGCCATGGCACTCTAGCCCAGGCAGTAGAGCAAGACTCCATCTCAAAAAATAAAAACAAGGAAAAATAAATAATAATTTGTTTTGAGTTTTCTGAGATATCTATGACATAATAGTTTATAGGGATCATTGTTTCCTAATCTCAATTGGTATTTAACTGTTAGATATGATCGTGGTTACTGATGATGAATATACAGGTGTATATAACAGCTCAGAAATCTGAAGTCCTGTTGTTCGTTGTTTTAATTAGAATAAAGAAGGATATAGCTTCAAATGAAAAGAGGAATTTGAGTGTAAGAAACTAATGTGAAACAGTATATTTTTTGCATGAAAATCCATGTTGTTGGTAGTTCTTACTGAACTGTTTGTTTCACTGAAGGAGTATCCACACAAAATTGAATTATTTTTTGTGAGACATGATACAGAGTTTTAGCTTGCTCTTTTATTTGCCATGTAAGATGAAACAAATTTTTCATCTTTTATAAGAATTTTAGAAGCAGAAGTTTCAGGTTTTGGAATACATGTACCTGGATAAAGTGAAAAGTTTCAAAAAACCATTTGAATATGGCTTTCCTTCAGTGGGAAAAAGAAAAAAAGACATAGGACTTGATTAAAGTAATGTAAGTTCACAAATTTTTATCTGAAACTTTGGGGACCAGTTGTGTTTTAGAATTCAGAATATGTCAGATTTAGAAAAGTAATATGTTCTTATCCCATATATTATGTAACGACTACTGGGCCTGGGGCAGCACCCTGTAATCAAGCACATTAATAGTTTTGCAGTTAAACATGTACAAATTTACACTGAGTTGAATAAAAACAATAAATAGCCTCATATCAGTTCACATTATGTTTTTTCATAAACTGAATTCAGATCAGTTCAGATTTACTACCAAATGAGTTTAAAAGATAAAACAAAAGCTGGGTTTTCAGAGCCTTTTTACTTTCAGGCATGCAGATATTAAATTGTAGGCCTATAGAATCTCAGTGCTTGCTGGTGTTGTTTGAAGGCAAGCTGTATCCTTCTTGGTCATCTTTTTTTCTCTTCCTCTCTTTCTGCCTGTCTCTCCCCATCACCCTTCTCCTGCCCCCTTCCTCTTCCACTTCCTCCTCTATTTTCATCTTTTCTCCCTTCCTCCTATTTTTGTATGTCTTCCTTCTCTGTTCACAACTCTTCCTCCTCCTGCTCTTCCTTCACCTCTTCTTCCCCTCCCTCTCTTCCTCCATTTCCATGTCCTCCTCTTCCTCCATCTCTTGATTTCCTCTATTCTCCTCCATCTCTTCTCCATTTTCTTTCCTTCTCTTCCATCTCCATTATATAGATTGCCACTGCAGCCTGCTCACTTTATTAGTTTCTATCCTCTAATACCTTTTAATATGCTTATCTTGTTCAATTTCTATATCCAACCATAGTATTCTCTTTTTGAAATTTTGGAGTGAGAACAAGAGTGTTGACCTAGCCATAATTTACAATTTCCTTTTTGTGTTTGCTTCTTCTTTTTTTAATTCAGTAAATATTAGAGCACCTACTATATGTACCTTAAGTGATACATCCTGATTTATCGTCCAGTTTACTAATGATCCCTTGAGATATGTATAATCTGCTGTTATGCCTGCCAACTGAATTTAGGCTTCAGTTACTATATTTTCATTTGTAGAGGTTCTCTTTGGTTATTTTAAAAATCTTTGTCACTTTTTATAATTTTATGATCCTCAAAGTGATTTCCAAGTTTGCTTAACAAGCAAGCATAGATATTTTATAGTCTGTGTCTGATAATGCTGGGATTTTAAGTGGGTCTTATTGTCTATTTCTTTCTATTTGTTCTTGCTCAAGGTATCTTGAGCCTGGTATCTAGTGCCTGGTGACCTTAAAATTATTTGTGGGAATAATTTGAGGCCAGAGACCTTCTTCTAGCAAAATTTTGCATTTGCATTGTTGCTTGAACGTACTACCAGTTTGAGCCCACAGAGTTTAAGGTGTTAAGTGTCTGGACTGTTCAAGCAATTGACCTTAATGAAGCACTCTATTTGATTCACTTCTCTGTAGCTCTCTTTTGAGAAAAGTTTGGAAAGAATTGACTATAGGAAAATAAAGGCTTACTTAGGGTTCACTTTGACCTTGAGGGTATAGTTGGGTGTTATACCAGCTTTTGGTGGGAGGTCTCCTGTTAGACTCTGTGTCTTATGTAGATTTTGAATTCTGTTCCCTTTGCCCCACAAGGCCTTCAGAAGAGAAGTTCCAATGTACATGTTTTATCTTTGGATGTTTTTTTCTCTTATAAAATATTTATTGCTTTGGTAAGTGCTAGAGAAAAAATAAAGCAGAGAGGTGGGTAGATCAGAGTTGGGTAATCTGAAATTTTAGTGTCCAGGAAAAACTTCATTGAGAAGATGACAGATGAATAAAGACATGAAGATGGTGGATGAACAGAGTGGATATAAATGGGGAAGAGCATTCTAGGCAGAAGGAACATGATTCATAGCAGTGAGTCTGGTGGGGCTGGATTTGAGAGAAAGCAAGTAGGATATAAAGTTGCAGAGACCTACATGATATCTAAGATCTTAGAGTCCTAGTAGGACTTTTCATGGAGTCATAGGAGGATTTTGAACAGTGACATTATGTCATTTTGTTCAATTCAGGATGCTGTATTGAGAATAAACTCTAGGGGATAAGGTGAGAAGCAGGGAGAAGAGCTAGTTGGCTGTCACAATTATCCCTGGATTGTGCTAGGTAATGGGGATACGGCACAAACATGACAAAGTTCTTGCCCTTAAGTTTCCAATCCACTTACAAAGATCCGTGTCTATTATTTCAGGAAAAGATAGTTGCTAGGAAGAAAATAATTGAGATTTGTTCTGAAATTTCATTATTAAGAAAAAGTTTTTAAACTCAGAGCATTTATAACCTTCATGTAAATGATAAAACAAATTTTAAATTTTCGGGCTAGTGATGAGTTAAGTTTCATGAATTCTTTTAGTTTATAGTAAAAAAAAGCTATAACCTTGTTGGAAGTGGATAAAAATTTACTTCTTTCTATGTTTGTAAATTTGTTTATTTTTCCTTTAGTTCTATTTTGGTTTTATATATTTGAAGCTGTGTTACTAGGTTCATAAATACTTAGGGTTCTGATTTTTTTTTCCTGTTGGATTGACCCCTTTCTCATTATTAAACATCTGCTTTTATTTTTAGTAATGCTTCTTCAAGCTGATTTGTTTCAAAATAATACAGCTACACCAGCTTTTGTTTGATTACCATGGTCTTTCTCTAATTTTTATGTGACTTTATAAAATATATCTCATTTAAACAACCTATTTTTAAAAATTTAGTCTTAGATTTTTTACTTGGACTGCTGCTTAGTTCACTTATATTTAAAATTACTGATATATTTGGTTTTATATTTACCATTTTATTTTCTATTTTATCCACTTGTTTTATCTTTTTTTGGCCTCCTTTCTTGCTTTTTTTCAGTTAATCATATATTTTGTCTTATTTTATTTTTCTTGTATTAGTTTATTTATGTATATATAATATTTACTCTTCTTTTAGTGGTTACCTCAGAGCAGATAATGGCAAACTGGCACTTATAGACCAACTCCAACTGCCCTCCTGTTTTTCTATACAAAATTTTATTGAAATAGCCACACTTATTTATTTATATATCATGCATCATCTTGGTGCTACAACATAAATGAGTAATTGCATAGAAAGACCGTATGTGTATGGTTTACAATGACTGAAATATTTGTTATGTGGGCCTTTATGGAAAAGGTTTGCCATCCTCTGCTCTAAGGAGTGGTTCTTAAACTTGGTCATGCATCAGAATCACTACGAGCTCTTGCTAATACACAGGTTGCTGGGCTGCATCTCCACAGTTTCTGATTTAGTGAACCACATTTTGAGGACCACTATCCTAAATACTATAATATACATCTTTGATTTATTTTAATCTAAAGTAAGTTGCTATGTTTACTACTTACCCAATAAGGCCAAAATCCTTAGCAACCTTTAACTTTGTTTGCTTACCTCTTAGGAACACTGGCTGGCAGTAGCTCAAATGTCTGTCAACAGTAGAATGGATATTAATATCAATGAATTGTTGTACATTCATATATCAGAAAACTATAAGGAATGAAAATGAATCTTCCAAACATTATCCTTTAACATCAAGTGAAAGAAACTCGATGCCAGAGTATATATTGTGTGATTCCTTTTATATAAGTTTCAAAAATGGGTGAAACCAATTATGGTGCTAGAATTCAAGACTAGTTAGATTTGGTAGGAAATATTGACTTTTAGGGGTCTTAAGGATACTTACAGGATGGTGGTAATAATCTATTTATTGATCTGGATATTGATTACACTGCTATCATTTTGTGAAAATTCATTGAGCTGCATATTTATGATTTGTATACTTTGTTCTGTCTTGATTAAAGTTGAAAAATTAATTTCCCAGTAGTTTGAGAATTTTAAGAGTTAATTTTTTTTTTAATGGTAGGGACATTTACTCTTTTCAGTGCTTGTGTGTGTACAGGAACAGAATACTGTTTCCATGGGAACTTCTGGCTACCCTGTGTTTCAGTGCCTAACTTCCTGTAGATTTGTGTGTCTACTCTGTCTCAGCTGCATTTTTTTTACATAGTGGAGGAAAAAGTTTATTTGGAATTGTGTTAGTGTTTTTAACAAAGCAGTCTATGTACAGTGTAGGTTTTAAGCTCATTAATTTATCCATACTGGCTCTCTAATAGTGTTATCCTAAACATTTTTTTTAACTGGAAGATACTTTTTGTCTATAAGTTCTGTTACTTAAGAAAAACAGTTGCTGAGGGGGAATGTGGCTTTATATTAGCGTGCGTATTTAATTCTTCTTTTCCTTCAACAAATAAAACAGTCTTGAAACTTATTTGGTATGTTTTCTTTAAAATATATTTAATAGTTGTATTGACAGTATCCTTTTACAGAGATGATTTCCTTTTAGGTGATTGAGTATTTGTATAGGGAAGGGGAGCAGATTGAAAGGAAGAGATTCTGGCATATTGATCTGAAGCCTGTGGTAAAGCTGCTGCTTTGCCTCGCCCATCTTGTTTGTCATGGTTGGTTTGTGCAGGGTCCTAGAGAAAACCATCCTTTCTGAGGAATAAAATGCATATAGCTTGTGATTTTTTTATTCGGAGGAGGTTGGGAGGTGTTTCATTTGTATATAAGGAGATGAAATTAGCATGGCCATTATATTCTAAAAGGAGCCTTGTAGAATATTATAGAATCATTTATGAGAACAGATTATTCAGTTTGATTCCTATGGCCTACATAAACAGCAGATTTTAAGATTACAGAGTTAATTATGCACAGTAATGAGCACTGTGATATTCCGAGCTTTACTGATGCAGTAATAAGCACCCAGCAGAATGAATATTGCGTAAAACCTTATTTTCTATTTATGCAAATTTTTATGAGGATTAACTAGTAGAAAATAAATTTAGATCTGTATACCTTTAGTATTTGAATGTCTTTGAAATTTTGATATAGAATAAGGATTGTAGCTGGATAGAGAATTTTTTAGATGCATGGAGAATTTTTACCTTTCATCTGGCAGTAGCTGCCATAAGATGATGTCACCTTGTAGCTGATTGGCTGTTACAGCACCTAGGGCAGGGAAGAGAAAGAAAAATGCCGGCACAAACCTCAGTGGTGGTTCTGTGGTTGTTTCTGTCTTTTTTTGATAGAATCTTTGATTAGTATCGAATTTACTGTATTTGGCCATGTGAACTATTGGGCACGTCCTAGGGTGAGGGAAATTAAGAGCTTTCAGAGGAATGAGGCGACTGATTTGCAAACGGATCTGTGATTGTAAGTTGCAGAGTCTGGGTATAAGGAATAAGGCAGGGCGTGCTGGAAGATGCACTATGGGAGGAGCTGGCAGAAAATGCTTGTATGAGTAGAAAAAAAAAAAAAAAAAGAAAAATACTTTTTACTACCCTTAGGGTTAATATTTTTGGTTTTATGTTTTGGCTTAATATATAGAGGTAGGAAATGTGATAATATTGCATTTTTATTTTAAATTACAGAGGATTATTTTATATAATGTTAGCCAATATATAAATGCTTATTCAAAGGACCTTTATTTTATATATCTTATCAAAGTAAATGATTTTATGTATGCCTTTATTTGATTTTTTAGTCTTATAGAAAATGGAGCAAGGCTTAGTTCTCTTAAATACATTTTTCTAATGCATTGTGCAGATAAAAGCTTCGATGATGAAGAATCAGTGGATGGAAATAGGCCGTCATCAGCTGCTTCAGCCTTCAAGGTTCCTGCACCTAAAACATCCGGAAATCCTGTCAACAGTGCAAGGAAGCCTGGTTCAGCAGGTGGCCCTAAGGTTGGAGGTAATGTAAATCCATTTCAAATCTGATATGCATGCTCCATGCTCTTGATATGGCCACACATACTTGGAACTTTAGAGAAATATGTTTATTCATGACTGCAGCATGATTGCAGATCTGGAGAGTCTGTTGCAACACTCAGAAGAATATGCTGCATTTTTTAAATGTTTATAATATTGTATATTGCTATTTCCTGTAAACACATATGTGAATTAGTATTGAGGGTAAATTAGTCTTGTGAATTAGTGTTGAGGGTATTTATTTTTCAGACACCATTTTTAAAGAGAGAGATTTAAGGGAATTTGGGGGTTTTTGTTTGTTTGTTTTAAGGAGAGAACAGGTTTTTCAGAATTTGGGTATTAATTTTCAGGTGTAATAGCTGTTACAGAAATGTTGAATTATGTAATATTTTTACACATTCTTTAGGTAGTAAGCCTTAAATACTCCAACATTTTAAAAATGGTTGAAGATACTGGGTATTGAATCATTTGTCACAATAGGAAAAGGGTGGTGGTCAAGAAAAATTGCCTCGAGAATGGTTTCTGGATTAGATAATAATAGGAAAAAGCAGGTTTAATGCAGTATACAACACATAGTATGTTCTTTGATCATATTAGAACTGTTTCGAGCATATTGTTTGTCTTTAATTTTTTAATGAATGTTTTTCGTATGCTAATTAGAAAGCCATGAGTACATTTCAGGTGTTAGTTTCTGCTGGATCTTTCTGATAGATGAATCTGTAAGAATAAGAGTAAATGTTTAATGCTAAAAGGACAGTAATCTTTTTCTCTTTTTATTTCTTTCCTAGTTTTAAATAAATTTGTGTTATAGTTATATTTTGGGAAACATTTTTTTCTTGTTTACAGCGACTGGTGGGAAAATCATGGTCTTGAGGATTTTTGTTTGTTATTTTTGTCTGTAGCACTTATTAAAAACAAAAAAGGGTAAAAAAAATAAACTGTATATTTTGACCAGGTTCTGTAAAGAGTTGTAGTCCCTTGATCTTTCTATACAACCTAAATTTTTTCCCAAGTCATATGGTATTCTAAATATGGGAAAACTATCATAAATATTCCATTTTAACTATCTTATGTGTTATATAACTAATAAGAAAGATGATATATATATCTCCACATGTACACATGTATACATACATATATATTTCTATACATATAAATAAATAACTGAAATAAAAATGTCTTTCTGATTTCTCTGGATATTTTGAGTAACTTGCACTTTAGAATTTTAATTATTTTCTTTTTGTTTTGTAATTATAGGATTATGTTCTAATCTAAATGTTAGTTATGATATATCCTATTACATGATAGTTTCTATTATGCATTCTTACCTCTAGTAAAATGTATATGACATTCTGTGCTTTCTTCCTTTTATAAGAAATGGCTATTTTCAGTCATTACAGGGGAAATGTTTTTTGAATTATAGAATTCTAATCTATGATATAATTTTATGAAACTATCTTATTTGACTTAACATAGATTAATGTTTGAGATAAATGGTGATAATATTTAACATTTTTTGTGAATCTGGATCAGTGGTTTATAAATGTCTCTGTTTTTTTCATGGTTTACTATCTTCTTAGATGAAAAATTGAGATTGTAATTTACCTATCACAAGTCACTTAATTCTGATATTATTAATTCGATATAATCAGATATTCTTTCTTAAACAGGAGAGACTTTCTTAATGTCTCCACCCCCAGTCTATAGTTTGTAGTCCTATCAGATAAAAAAATGCCAGGTAGCTTTCATGATTGTAGTCATTAATCACTTAGATTATTTCATCCATCTAGGCAGCAGCCTTTTTGATAAAAATAAGGAGCAGCCTTCATTCCTTTCTCCTTTTTTTCCTCCTTTTTTTATTTTTAAAATATTTTTTGGCAATTGCAGATACATTCTTGTTTCTTTTCTTTGCTGTAACTCATTTAGGTTCACTGTCCATTTTTCTATCTAAGAAAGGAGCTACTAGCCAGAGAATATTGATATTGCTTTTTAAATTAATGCATTCTTGGCTGTTAGCCCTTCTTTGAAAATTTAACTTTAGATTTTCTGGTCTTGGCAGAAACTTACTGATTTTAATTTAGCTGTAGAAAGTTTTCTTAGAGTTGTAGAATCTTTGGGTTTCTGTTGTCTGGACTATACATTCTCTTTCCTGTAAATTCATATGAAATGATGATGATTAAGTCTCAACATTTTATTTGCTACTCCTAGGTATATAATAAATAGATAGATGGAATTAGTTCCTAATTAGAATATGGTAGGTGGAGATGTACAATGATGGTATAAGCCAGTCACAGCCCCACTGGGTTTGACAAATCTCTTTTCAGGTAAGATTATCAAAATAAAATGAGCTGCTTTGGAATCCTGACTGAATCTACTTTTGAAGTTTTGAAATATAATTTACTTCTCCTAGAGGTATATATCAAGATTAGAGATTTATGCTATTTTTAGCAAAGTATCCTAGTCAGTTAATTAAAGCTCATAAATCTTTATTTAATCTTCTGTGCATGTTTGTTTGCTTTGTTCTTTGGCCTCAATAGCCTAACCTATTCTTCTAATATTGTAATTGTAAGAACTGAAAAAAAGGCTATGGCCAAGCCCATACCAATATGTCATTTCTATAAAAACCCATATTATGCAGATGTCAAAAGTGTTATCTTTGTGCAATACTAATTAGAATAGAGATAAAGTGAATTCTCTTAAATAATCTATTTTCTAGATAACACTTATAATTTCATATTAAGAATTTAGATAAACATATTTTCTTTTCTTTTGGCTTAATGGTTTGAAATACAATTGCTAAAGGTAGCTGATTATTTAAAATACTTATATTATCTTCATAGTATTTTAGGTAATAATTTTTTTAAAAAAATTCTTGAGTGTTCTTATATATATTCTTTCATTTAAATCTCAAAACCCCTGAGTTGGATACTTTATTATCCTGATTTTACTGATGAGCAAACTGCAATTTGTGGAAGTTAAGTAACTTGCCTAGGGTCACCCATCTAATAAGTGGGCAAAGCACAAAAATCAGTTTGCTATACTACTATCACATTAATCTCTATTGACAAATAAGGATTCTTCTAGATTCTGTGACTCTGAGATTATAATCTGCAGTAATGATTACTACTTTTTGGCACTTATAAATTAGTTATTTTAAAGCTCAACTACCTGTAGCATGATTCCCAGCAAATTAGAATATTTGGCAATAAGCAAACATTAATTTTTGTATTGGAAGTAGAAATGCTTTTTAGTGTTTTCTTGTCAAAATTGCCTTCTTCAAGTTAATTTTCTGAGTTATAATATCCCTGTTCCTGTACCAATCACTTTGTCTAGTGTTCTGTTTAAAAAATAGTAGTTGTATTAGATTATGACATAATTGTCAATGTTTATAATTAATACCAGGTTTTGAAGTTAGTGACTTGTCATTGAGGTTTGTTCTATAATCATTGAGACTTGTCATTGACCAAATCATCAATTCTAAGTTCTCTTGTTCTCTCCCACTCACTCATTCATTCAAGAGGACATTGTATTTTCTCTATATTGTTTCCATCTAATGTCAAAGATTACTTTGAAATAGTTTTTACTTTCAATTCTTATAATTAGGTAATCACTACAGTTTTAAATTCATTAGCATTTCTCATCTTTAGGGTATTTCATATTTGTTTTACTTCATTTAAGTTTGACCTGAGATTTTGTTAAGAATGTTTTTCTTAAAACATTCTTAAAATCTATTTTCTACAAATAATTTTCTACAAATAATCTATTTTCTACAAATCTATTTTCTACAAATAATGCTAATCATTCACATTTTTCCCATCATGCAAACAAAATTGTCTTTTCTTTTGAACAAATAAAGATCATGAGAATCAGTATATATTTAATAAAATAAATCTTAAGAATTTGTTGTTTACTTCTGGAATCCAAGTTTTTTGACTAGGAGAACTCAATTTTTTGTTTTTGCACTTTATGTAAAAACAAATAACATTTCTGTTTGTGTGTTTTGGTTTTGTTTATCTTCTTCCCTTACTAACAGGGAGAGATACTAAACCAGAAGATTTTAGACCTGAAGTGGTCTTAAAGATGATCTGACCCAAATTCAGGTGAAGAGACGGAGCCTCAGAGAGCTGAATGACATGCCCAGTAGCAGATAGTTATTAGCAGGGGGGATGAGACAAAAACCCAGTGCTTGGCCCACTGTCAAGGGCTTTCTCTTGGTTGATCTCTGGGTCACCTCCTAATAGTGCACGTGGTACACATTTCTTATTTTTTATCCCATATAGCAAAACACTATTATTGAAATTTGGAATTTTAGGTATTGACCAGCCACCAGTCTGTCTTAAATTACTGTGAATTCCAGATTATTGACCATCCATTATAAGACACCCTGATACTATCTATCTTAACTTTGGTTTTAAGGTAAATATGATTTGAGTAAATAACATATAAATTGTTATAACTATAAATCAGTAAGCTCCCTTATTTCTTTCTGTATATAAGAATATATGTGTTGTACTGTAATTATTTTCTGTGTCCTCAGTTTTGTTTTATTTCCTGTGTAAAACTTGAAGTGAGAAAAAATTTCATTGTGTAAGGTTTATTTTTTGAGGCATTCAGAATGTTAATATAAATAAACAATTCTGATTAAAATAGAATAGCTAAACTGAAGACCCAGTCTCTCCACAGAGAGACTGTGTATATACACTTGTATATAGCACTTACTACACTTATCTACACTTGTATATAGCACTTACTATATGCAGTGCTACTAATAAGGCACCAAGAGGACCATATGGAATGTTTAATTTATCATTTTAAACTTACAAAGATAATTACAGTACCTGCCCATTATTCCACCAACCAGTGTTATTGTTTGCGTTTCAGTCTTCCCATACTTCATTTGCCTGCATTTTTTGACTGAAATTTAAGTGTTAGAAAATTGTAAAACCTCATTATAAGAACACAAATTGATTCAAGGTTTGCCTC